TGGGATGGGGGGGTGGGAGCAAAGGTGACGCGGCCGTCAGAAATCGAAGGAATGTCCATGTCGGCCTAGGATCAATGCTTTTTATGGTTGGCACTGGCTGAGGATTCAATCGTATCGCTGAGCAGTAAATTAGAAACGCCACTGTTGTGGATGAAATCAGTGTGCTCCTTTTCTGGGTTTACACTAAACGCTGTTGGGGGTTCTAGCGCGGCCCTTGGTTCGGTTAGCGCGCCGTGCAGTGAATTCCAAGGTGGTCATGTCACAGTGCTCGTGATGCCCGAAACACCGAGTGTATTTTCAGTAGGGGAACGATGCATGGATAATGGGTTCAGTTTTTATTGGCCTGCGCGTCAAGCCTCATTTTCTGACTCGACAGTTGATGGGAACATTCCATGCTGTGCATTGTCAGGGAGAGAGAGAGAGAGAGAGAGAGAGAGAGAGAGAGAGAGAGAGAGAGAGAGAGAGAGAAAGAGAGAACTACGTTTTTTTCGGCCGATGGAGTTGTGCAGTCGCCCAAGACGCTGTTGCTCTCGAGAGATGGGCGCGTGTGATGCTTGATGCCACTTGCTTCCTAGATGATGCCGAAGCGATGGGTGGGCCCCCTGCGGACTGTGTCCAAACTCGAACGACCGCGGTTTTGCATGCGAAGGAGTTACCTGCCACGCGCAGTCACCAGAACGGGCGCCCGAACCAATCGAGAGACAGCTCTCGGGCAGAGGTGCCCACTGACGTCGTCGCTTCTATTGCTCACCCACGATCGCCCGATAACGAGGTTGGTCGTGTAGATTGACTGGCGTGGTGAGTGCCAATCTGGCGCAGCCGGTTCAATCGGTGGATTTCGGAGCGGGGAGCGCGAGTAAGCCGTTGGGATCTGCCGCGAGGAACCTGACGCGCCACGGAGCTGATGCGCACTATGATCCCGCCCCTGCCCCGACGAGCTGGGGGAATGCGAAGTGGTTGGTCAAGGCGATGAAGACCTCGTGGAAGTCGCCGCACCTCAGTGGAGACAGACGAAGTTGACGTTGCGATGTCGAATGCCGACCGTCTAACATGGGGTGCAGTCTCCGTCCAACATCTTCTGGCGTATATCCCAACTAGTCCTTGTTGCGCAAGGTGCTCAATGGCTCAGGCCCTTCGGTTGCAGCGCCGTGAGAGGCAGAGCAAAGGGCTTGAGGTTCCCAGACCATGCGCCGATCCTCCTTGTTTCGGACACCTCACCACCGTGGATCACCGGTTCGCGGCTGGCGAGCTATCGCATGGACTTGGCGTGGGATTTGCGCGCGTGACATTTTGCGACCGGTTCGCGCAGTTCATTGCCTCGCAGGGTGTCCATGACAGGGCGACGGGTCATGTTCGTAATTTCTTGGTGAACCTGCAGGCGCCGTGAGAAGAACTTAATGCCGTCGCGCGGGTGGCGCCCACAAACCTGCGAATGCTTGCTGGGAACTCAAGATTGCGCGCGATGGCGATGCCAACGTCCCAAGTGAAAAAGGGCTGGAGAGGTTCACGGCAGTAGCCGAAAGAGCAAGCGGTGTAGTGCAGATGGGTACCCGTGCCTTGTTACATGCCGCTTGTTTGCCGCTGTTCCTGGACGCGCGCTGCGCGATGCTACTATATAGCGCATGGCGTGACATTTTTTTTGGTTTTACCCGTTATCCGCTTCAAGCCTCCCCTTGAATCAAGGCATACGGTGGCCAAGACAGGCTTTTCCATGGTCCTGGGCATTTGGTTGGGATTTGTGCGCGAAGCAGGGGGCGTCGCTGGGCCGGGCAGTTGCGTTGCTCCTGTAGGACCGCTCGAAGGTCTAAACGTGGTGACTCGGCGCGCATTTTATGGCACTCGACCCTTTATTGACAAGTCGGAACAGGTCTATAGCAGCGAGCCAAGGCCCTGAATTCCAATGAACGACGCTTGTGAGAAGGCCCTCGCAATCATTGCCTCGGTGACGGTGCCACCCCATGAGAGGTAGAAGTCCGTCCAGCGGATCGCGACTTGTCGATCGCAGTCGTGCTCCCCCAGGAGAACATGTCGATGTCGATGACTTGTTTGACCGACCCGAGCCTCCCACGCCCCCGTCGATGCCCGATGGGGGAGGCGCGGGTGCGGGCGATCCTTCCTCGGGAGACCCGCCCGATGACGAAGGTCCGGGCGGGGGCGCGACCGCGGGGGAATCTGCGGTGGTAGACGGGTTCGATCTTCGACGGGATGATCCAGCCAAGCGAGCAAAATTTGGCTTAGGTTGCGTGGGGTGCTAATTAGATGGGCAGTCGCACTTCTCTCGTATATGTAGGGGCTCGGGGGGGGGGCCCGAAGCCCGAACAGTTGCTGGCGCGCGCCATTCGAAGCCGCGATGCCATGGAGTCCTTGGAAGATAAAAAAGATCGTCGATCGATGGTCCCCAGAGAAGTTGTTTCAGAAACTTCCATTGGTTGGCGAACGTAAGACATGCACCTTGCGAGTCGTTTTATTTTGTGATCGTGAATGCGAACCTGTCACTTGGATGCAAGTCGAGGATGAGTATTCGGTATTCAGCTCCTGGAGAAGATCCGGGGTTTTACCAACCCTGGTGCGCACCCGGGTAGATGGTTCCATATGACCAAGGGCCCCAATTAGGAACGTAGTAGGGCTATCGAAAGATACAAGGCTGAGACATTGGGTGTCTTCGAATGTGAGGACAGAGGACCACGCCTCGAACTCTGAGGAGATACTGGTATCAAGATCGCCCTGGTTGCGCGCGATGCTGGCGCCGATGCTGTGGTGGGTGAACTTTTGCCAGATGTTGGTCCACATTGTTTGCGATCGATAGAGCCTCTGTCGGAGTCTGATGCCAAAGCTGGCGAAAACGTTTGGCGGGCGCTAGCGTGGCATGGGGGGGCGACCCTCTAGGGCGGAGTCGACCCGGGCTCAGCTTGGGGAGATTTTCGCCCATGGATAGCACTTCTATCAAAATTGCATTGTCTGGCCGCGAGCCAAGCGGCCGCCGCTCAACGGCGTGGCGCGCCCAGAACGCCATTGCAGACGCCGACGTGCGATTTTCAGACGAAGCGGGGAAATTAACGAATGGGCTTTCAATATTGTCATGGCCTTTCCGCGGATACGAGCCGAGCGGGGAGCGTCGGAGACCGGCTCGGCTGGTCTACTGGTCAACATTTTCCAAGGTGCGGTTGGCGCTGCTGTAGCCCGTTCAGTTACGAACTCGGAAGCGGCAGTAAAACCAGAAGCTGAGGAGGAGCTTCGAGTATGATAGGATAGACTCTGATCCATCGGAACATGTGAAGACTGCAGAGTTCATTCATGCCAAGACGTGGTAAATCATGTGAATGTGGGGCCGCGCGCTTCGGTGGATTGTTCGCGATTCTCCTTGAAGAATTCCGAGTTGCCTGAAGGGCACAACGACCGATGATTCAAGGGGCGAGTTGTTTTCGACGGTTCTGACGTGCGTGATCAAAGCAAGGATGTCGCATTATCCCAGGAATGTTCCAGCAGTCAGCCGCGATGAGTGCCGGTGGGGTGGCGGATGCGCGTGGGTGATCTCTCAGTCGCGAAATTCACCGAGCTGATACCAAGCAGGCATGCGCGCAGTCCAAGCTGGGTGGGGCTCCCATGTGGATATGGTTGCCTAGAGAAGAAAGGCCTGAATCATGGGCTCGAATGGATCATCTCTTCTGTCCAGTAATACTCTGTCCATATATTGGCGTCGGATATCGGGAAGAATATCATGGGAAACATATCCTCTCGAAGGGTTTCGGGACATGTAACCGGTGGCGCAGCTGCTATCACAATCCCAAACATAAGTTTTTCTTGTTCATTTATGTTGACGGCTCCAACATGCATGGCCCCTCGAATGACTTGGAAATTGTTTGGGAGATGATTCAAAAACCTTCAGAAAGTTGTCCGAATGGAATGGACATGCACCCTCCTGCAACAGTTGGGGGATATTTTGGATGCGGACATCGACGTTATCGCATAGCGATTGAGTGGCGCGGGGAATTGCCCGTGACCCTTGATCCCCCGCCGCCGAAACAGAAGAAGGCGTCGGTGGTCGTTTGGGGGAGAAGCAGCTGGGGAGGAGAGTGGGGATGAGGGCTCCCCATGTAGTTTCGAAGCGCCGATCAAACCATAAACGCCGAGACCAGCCGAGGATGTCCAGGTCACTGAATATGACGCGGCTCATTATTTTGAGTCCTGTGCTCTCCTGTGCGCGCAGCTCGCAAATGCGGGCCCTGCGACTTATCCGCCTGCAAGAACGCCGTTTGGACCAGAGATGATTGGCTGTCGGTTCGTGGAGTTTGTCTTTGGCCTTTATCGGCGCCGTCTTAAGGTCCTTTTGGGCCGTTTGGGGCGCCTCTTGGACCGTCTTGGGGCCCTCGTCGGCAGTCTTGGGGCCGTCTCGGGGGCCTCTAGAGCGCTCAGACGGTTTGCTTACATTTTTGCTCCCAAGAGGCCCCTTAGAGGGTCTCACGACGACCCCACAGGCGTCGGTCACGTCGCATCCGTCGGTCATCGAGGTTCTCTCGACTATGGAGGTTCGAGGTGTTTTTTTTTCCGATGTGTTATTCCTGTTCTGGCCGCGAACTATTCTGGGGGGTCACGGCAACTCCGGCGCTGGCTCCTGCGAGATT